AATACAGAAAAATGGGGAAATAGACTAACCAAAAAAAGACCAGGGACGAGCCCTTTGTAGAGTGACCTCCATCCCTCTTCTTTCAGAATGGTTCTTATAGCATCTGATATACAGAAGGTAGAAAAAGTAAAACTTCTACTTTTACTGGCACGGAATAAGCTGGAAGATCCCGTAAAAACAAATTCAGTAAAAGAAAGAACAAGAACAAGGGCTGGGGAAAATCCTGAAACAAACAAGATGTCAACTTTCAAAATTTTTAGTCAGAGGTCTAGTGACACTGACTCTCAAACTTTATTCATTTTAACACTGATGTTGGGGTAGTTCTTATCAATAGTATGTTATACATACATTGAAGCAGCTTATACGTTCGATAATAAAATTATGGCACATTTTGTATTCCCAGATCATTATGATTTGTGGGCCACCGAGTAGGAAACAGAATCAGTTATTGAGTTCTTATCTTTTATTTGGGCTGTATACTGCAGTACTTCATGATTTTTTATCTTCTGTGGTCAACCCATTTTAGTAATCATTGAACTAATTAACTAAGATAAGTTCCACTCTTCACGGCTATGACCAGCATTGTCCTTAGTAAATTGTCTTCTCTTTTCTTTTTTGTCTTTTTTCTATTTTTTCTTCTCGCATGAAACATCAAAATCCTTTGAGGCTAGTTAGCATGATGCATTAATGTTTGAGTGCTATAAATAATCTTTTACATTCTGATTGGTCATTTTGGTTGCATAGTATTGGATTTTGTTCATAAACATATTACATATAACACAAGAAGAGCACAGATTGATATCCATTTTTCTAAATACAGAAAATTTATCCTCGCCTTACCTAATATGCCAACAAAAAGGACCGAATAGGCAACAACTAACAACATTGTAAAATGGTTACATTTAAGCAGATCATATAGAGCTGGTATATAAGATCAGAGCTAACCATGAAAACCAGAATATGTACGAGCTTGCTGTGGAGTTTGAAGCTGCAACCTTGTTTTCACCAGCCAAATAGGATTGGTGCAAAGGCAGACCTGAAAGATCCAAAAGAGATTTTCTCGTAATCAAGACAAAGGCCACACAATAATTTAAAATATTAACTTGGTTAATGCTTAATGGATTTCTCTTGGAGCAATTCTTCCTCATTAAACACTGCTGACAGAAATTTATACTAGCATCTCCACCCTCCAGATAATATATGTTCCAGATAGTGTGATCAGCTACAACAAGTTCTTGTATTTATTAACAGAAACAAAAGGAAAAAAAATAAATAGAAAATTCTAGTAAACTTTTTTAGTTTGACACTACCCAATATTTGTGGTAGAACCCCTGAATTTTCTTTTGTTTCTTGAAAAGGAAAATGTCACACAATTGTAAGCATTTATTAAAATATTTTTTTCCACAGAATTACTGTATATCAACTCATTTTACCACAAGGATCATAAATGAGTTTTAAAGCAGTCAAATCAATACAAACGATCTTTCTAGTTCTGGAACATGGTATTCTGACATAATTAAAGGACAAGTAATTCAAATACTAACCAGCCCTCCAGCTTCTGCAGCTGAAGCAAGATGAAGAACAGGGCTAAGTTCCTCTCTGTTTCGTAAATATCGCTGCTTGGCTTTGTTGTAGCTATGAAAACATAAGAAGTTCAAGGTTAATATCAAATAGCTTGTTCAAGCATGCTGGACAACATAATAGCATTATATCAGAAAAACCTAGCTAAGGCATTGAATTTGAATTACAAATACTGTCTATTCGTAAAGTCTCGAAAGAGAATTAGGAAATTTGATATTCAAGGTTTGCCTAAAAACACATTTAGTAATGTCCCCATTAGACAATGAGCACAATTGTAAATACATTGAAGGTTGGAATTATAACATGTAAACCACAAAGAGATGGTTAAAGTATGTGATAGGATAATTCAGGTTGCTTATACAAATTTCCACTTTCCACCACGAACACTACAAGTACAAGATACACGATTTTTTTTCAAACCTTCAAGATTATCATACTTCAAACTAATACTGGACAGAACTTCTCAATGATGCTTACAAGTAGAAATACAAACCCCATGAAATAGTTGATCCAAGAACAGCAGGGTAAAAGCCAGCATATAGCCCTCTGAGACCCTGAAGTGAAGATGAAATTTTTGTAAGAACAAAAATTATAACCATAAATTCTTTGGAATAAAGTGATCAATAAATAACAAAAAACAGTCACAATAGTTAGGCAATAGCCAATATGGCATGCAACTGACCCGAGCTATAACTTGAAGATGGTTACATAGAGCAAATGCAAGCTATAGTATCACCATAATGTAAAAAAAGAAAAAGAAACATGATTAGAGACGGAGAACAGTTTGTGATGCATCCTACAAATTTGTAGCAACAGACCAAAAAGGTAGAAAAAAAGACTAATCTTTTCCAGGTTAATGAGATCGGGATTCAGAAAGGTTTAAATAATATACTATTTTGATACGTACCCACACCAAAAACAGACACCTCAAGCATAGAGAGCAGTTCATCGATTTGTATCAGGAATTACCAATAAACTCCACAAGCATTATGCATAAACCATTTGCACTTTCTTCACCATGCTAATATCATTAATGAATCAATAGCCAAATGCTAAAAAAGATTAAGAGTCATCAAAGGACGCAACTTTTTAAAACAATATTCTCAAACAACAAACCTCGGTGCGAGCAATGGTGAATAGAGCGTGCGGAGTGTTCTTATACGTTGGCAGAGCTGACAATCTCCCATCATTAACTATTTAACAAGACCAAACAAAAGGTCACCAAAAAACAAGATTTCACCATCACCTATAAGAAATTACAGGCTTTCCTTCAAATTAAGTGAAAAATAGACGAAAAGAGACCTTGGAATCGTGTTCGGATGACATCAAGTGGGTGAGTGAAGGTGACCGTTGCGAGGCCGGCGGCGGAGCCGGCCGCCGCATTCTCCCACTGCCAGGCGACCGCCATCAATCTCCGGCGACTTTATGAATTCACCATCTTTTTCATTTCGACTTTGAGTGACTACAAATAGGGGCCGCGGTGAAGGTTTGATGCCTCAAGGTAAGGAATCCACGCAAAGGCAGATAATATTGATGTTTCTTTCTCTTTCTTTCTTTCCTTTTTTATTTAATTTAATTTAACTATTTTTACTCCACAATCCGGCCATGGGTTTTTTTACTCCAATATGCCTAAATTCGCCAAAATGGAAAAAATAAAAAAAAAATAAAAAATAAACTTTGGAGTAGAAGTGCGAAGGGGGTATGTGAGCAATATGCGACAATAGCTGAAAGATGAAAGAAATAAAAGGGGTATGCGATATGCGACAATTCGCATACCCCTCGCATAACTGAAATAACTGAAAGAAATAAAAAATAACTTTCGAGTAGAAGTGCGAAGGGGGTATGCGAGCAATATGCGGCAATTCGCATACCATGAAAGAAATAAAAAATATTCTACGAAAAAACTTATTATACACCAACCCTGCGAATAATATGCGACGTTTGTATGTCGCAGAATAATTTTTTCGACTAATAGTCGCAGATTCATTTGCCTAACAAGAATAATTATTTAATAGGCGACGGACTGCGATTGACCGAATCGTACATCGAATCTCCGCATATTCGTCGCAGAACAGTCGCATACTTTAACTTATAATTTACTCGCCCATGCTCATACCGGTCGTCTATCTATCGCATATGCCTTCGTACTTTCTGGGGTGAAAAATTAGCATTTTATTGGGCGGTGTGAAAAACTTAGCAGGACTTCAAACGGGGTGAAAATAGCTATTTTCACTTTATGAAATATCTAGAACCGTATCAATTGTTTTTTGTTTATGAAACGGTCAGCGGTTATTTTTTTGTTCGGAGTGATTTCAGTTTGATTTTTGGAACGACTCGAAATTCTCCGAGCTCAGCCCTAATTTTAAGAAACTCAAAAATTCAATTTTATTTTTATTAATTAGGAATTATTAGGATTCGGTTTTCGGATAGAATGGGAAGGATTGTGGGCCTTAGAATGATAATTAAAACACGATAAACAGGGGTAAGAAACAGAGACCAAGGTAGATTATATATTTGTGATATAAAATTATGTAATGAGACAAATAACCTCAGAAATTCTCAGAATTGCATAACCCAGCCACGTGGCGTTTATTTAAGTGACCCACTCAAAGGTCATATTTATTTAAGTGACCCTTTTGTCTTTTTTATAAAGTGTGATAAATGAAGGGTAAAAAATGTCCTTATGTTATATAACAAATGTTCTTTCGTTTTTCTTTATGATATAACGAAAGTAGGTTTGTTATATTGGAACTTGTTATATTTTGAGTCCTAATTCTTTACTTATCGCTTGAACCTTTTGTTCAATTTTATATATATTGTTATTTGGTTTTATGATTACTTCAGTACAATTATCTATTTTCGAAGAACTTGCTTCGTTTTCCTCATTATTCTGTTTAGGAATAACGTAGTCTATTTTAGATCTTACGAAAGACGAAGTTCTATGTACTTGAAAGAACCTTCTAGGTGCTTCTAGTTGTAATATTGGTGAAAATAACTCATCAATTTCAATTTTATCATGAGGTTTGAATGACAAACTATGATGACTGTTAGTTAGTGCATAGTTTATTCTCCATGTTACTGAAAATGGGTGATTTCCAGTTTTCATTATTTTTCTTTTCATGTTCCAACACAAAGTGATAGAATCATCTAAATTATTGTCCAATAAAGACATTCCAACTTGGTAATTTAAATTAAACTTAATTTTACCAAATTTTAGATTTCCACTCCCTTCAGCTATTAGAGCATCAGAATAATTAATCATTCTATTATCAATTAGTCTTATTGTAATAGGAGAATCTATTCCTAGACTATAAGTAGATTTAAGAATCATTTGTATAGTAGAAACATGTAAGTAAGAGATTTTATTCCTAGTTTCTGTTTTTATATCTTTCAATGTAGAAAGAATTTGTTCTTTACAGATAACGGGAATAACTACATTTCTTTCTGTTTGATCTGTATCTATTGCTTCTTCTCCAAAAATGATTCCAAAGGATATTTCATTCTTTCTAGAAATTAAGTTATTTAATTTCTTTATCAATCCTTCATTTCTGAAATTATGATTCTTTTTTAAATCATGATCTGCTATTCCTAATTTATTTGCATCTATCAAGGCTTCAATTAAATAGCCTGATTTTTCATGCTTTGTGCAGTAATCTAAAAGATTGTTTTCTTTATCCATAGACTTTTAATATAAAATTTTAGTATTTTCGCCTGTTCTCAGGCTCTGATACCATTTTTATTTTGCTGCTTTTCATTTTGTTTTTTGTTGTTGCTCCAGCTTTTAACTACGGGTTTATGATCAATTTTGCGGAAATTCTTAGATATTAAATCTTAGTTTTTTCAATTTTTTCTTTATACTTTTCAAATAATTAACTTGACCTTCTATTTCTGGAAAACAATCTCCATAGTAATTATCTCTTGTAGAATGCCTTTTATAATAATTTTTCTTGAGCGTAATTCCGTATATAAGGTTTTCTAGATCTTTTAAAAGATCCTCTCTAGCTTTTTCAAGTAAATCTATTTCATTTTTTCTTATATTACCATAAGCATCTAAACTTATGGGACTATTTAATCTTTCGCTAATAATGTCAAACTCTTCTTTCATCATTAAAAGTTAGAGCATTCTTCAAATGAAAACATCATTTGAAACTGTGAGTTATGAGGAATACTCTTGAGAAAGATGAAACTCTGCCATGATAAATCCATTTTTTACAAACCTCAAATTCTGGGGTTGTAATGGATTCTCGTTTTGAACGAGTCGAAGGCTATAGGCCATTCTTTCGATATCTGAAGCAATCAGATTTTTATTGCAAGTTTGAATCAAAGTTCGATACTTAGTTTTCAACTTTTGAATAGTTGATTCTAAAATATACTTCCACAAAATAGCAGGCATTATATATTTTTATATACAGAGTTTTTCTAAGTTTGATATAATTTTAGCTAACTCTTTTTCTCTAGTTACTAGTGATGAATGAATATCATTGTAATAGTTATCTTTTGATCTTTGTTTATTATTTCTAATAGTTTGTCGTTGAACACCATTTTCTAGAATTTTTAGTTTCTCTAAAATTTCGAGTTTAAGAAACTTTAAAAGATTATTTTCTAATCTTCTTAATTCTTCATATTTATCTAATCTTATGGGTAATTGTATGCAATTTTCAATGTTATTAAAAACATTATTAAAAAGTTTTGAGTTCATACCTTTCTTCTGGGTTTTAAATTCTTTTAGTGTGCTTAAGATGATTGGTCCACCATAGCTTCCTGCTTTATCCTCAAATTCCAAACACTATGCTCCGAGTCGTCTTACTGCCCTCCTTCCTGGGTCTTACTTCGACTAGCGATTGTGTCTCCAGGAATATCCAGAGAATTTTAGCCTAAGCTTTTGGTTTGATCTTTTCTTGAAGCTTAATAGCTTCTAAGTGTTTGAAAACTTAATGTTTCTGTGATATAAAGCTCGTGGCTTAAGAACAACTTTTATTGAATATTAAATGTTTACAAAGAATAAAACTTCAAAATCTGATGAGGGATTGATGCCTTACATACTCCCATGGCACTCCCTTATATAGGAAATAGAAATGCTTGAATTATTGGGGTTCGGCACATGTCGCCGTCTCACCAAACGCATTTTGAAAAAGATCAAAAGCAGAAAATCTCCATCTGATTTTGTCTGCTACATTATTACATAATGGTAGGAACTACTTATCAACAATCGCATGGCTACTACATTATTACATTACATTATTACATAATGGTAGGGACTATTCTTATCACATGATAAGGTTCACATTGCTGGCAAGTTTCCTTCATTTATCGTGGTAGGGTCTGTGGTTGCTGGCTTGCTCGAATTTTCTTCTTTTTCCAAAGTGGTAGGGTCCTCCATTTGTTTTTCTTTTTGCTTACCCGACTCCCTCTTGTCATTAGTGTCGGCAACCTTCTTCTTCTTCTTTTGGTGCTTTTATTTCTCTTCATTTACTGTAAGGACAATAGACTGCACCATTTGCTTTGTTGCTTCTGTGGCATGAATCTTGAGGATGAGATTATCCTGCCAATTTTGAACTATGGCCAAGTCTTGTTTGTCAATATTTTTGTTGAAATTACTGACCAGAAGAATATTCGGGCTGCAATAATTTACTTTAATTTGGCTTGAAGAATTTATTTTTTCTAATGTTTTCAAGATAAAATAAATTCTATCTGCCCTTTCCAATTTCAGTTCTTCTTCTGTCAATGGAGGTTTTTCTTGTACCAGTGGTACTGGTGGTTTTACTTCTCCAGAAACCCCAACATGAATATAGTGATATGCTGGATATTGTTCTTCTTTGTTCCAATCTGGTATTGAGCTCCAGATCTTGACAAAGATTGATTTGTTATTTTCACGAATTCTGCATTTTTCCATGTACAAGGCGATTGCTTGTTTAATTTTTGGAAAATATGACAATTCTCTTAAACTGTTCTCTGGGTAGAGGGTATCAATGAATCCCCCTAGGAACAAGTCTCTTGTGATTTCAGGAGTAACTCCTGGTAGCAGGATGGCTTTAATCTGTTGATTTCTGCTAATAGGAATGTATCCTTGTTCACTTGTACTCGCGTTTACTTCTTCGTATAACGTGAGCCATTCTTTCTGGGTTATAGTAGTTTTGATTAACTTACTATCCAGCTGCTGCATTTTAAATTCGTCAAATTTTATGAATGGATTTTTCAAATGGTGTTCTTTAGGAATACCAGTGTTACGAAATACTGGTACTCTCTCAGTGATTTTGTTCTTTAGTTTTTCAAAGATCATCCTTGCTTCGAATTCAGTCTTTGCCGTATGATAGTATTCAGCTGACAAATCTTTTATTTTCTCGAAGCTATTATAGACTCCAATTTTTGGCCCGGTGTGCACCGTGTACCAGTTAGGTGCCCTTTCTTCCTCAACAAAAGTTGATTGGGTCTTTTGATCTTTCACCAGAGCGTCTTTGTATTCGGTTTTAACTTCTTTTTTACTATCAGGCTCTGAGAGACTTCCTTTATCTGTCTGATTTTTCAATTGTACTATCTTCAATTTCTGCTTTAAAATTTCCAATTCATGCTCCTTTTGCATGATTTCTAATTTAAGTTCTTCAACTTGAAGATCCATTTTGGTCCTTTTTGCTTTGGATTTTGCAATCTTTTGCTGAAGCGTTTGTTTCTTCAATCAAATACCTGCAAATTCCCTTGTTAGACAATCAGCAAGATAATTTTTATCACCTTTTATATGTTCAACATCAAATTGATAGTGCTTTAGATGTAATTGCCACCTAATCAATCTGCCTTGTTTATAATCTCCTTTAAATTCATTTTTAATAAAATAAATAAAATTTTTATTATCAGTTCTTACTAAAAACTTATTGGAGATAAGATATATTTTGAATTTTTGAATGCCCCGTAAAACTGCGAGCCATTCTTTTTCATTACTATGGTAATTCTTTTCAGCATCCTTAAAAGTTCCTGAAGTATATCTACACAATTTTTCTTCAGAAGAGTCTACTGGTTTTGCTTTTAAAACTGCGCTCCAGTAGGAGTCGGAGGCATCTGTTTCCAAAATCATTTTATCATTTTCTTGAGGGTGATATAATATGGGTAGAATTTTTAGTTTTTTCTTTATTTTTTCTACATATGTTGTATCACTTGATGACCAAGTAAAAACGACATCCTTTTTTAATTTTGCTTGTAAAGGCTTACGTATCGCTGCCAAATTAGCTATGTAGCCTTCTACATAATTTAAAATTCCAAGAAACCTTTGTAGTTGTTTTTTATTTCTTATTTCTGAAGGAAATTCAGATATTTTTGTCATGATATGCGGTTGCATAGTTAGACTTCTATTTTCAATTTCTAGTCCTAAGAAATTAATCTTAGTTTGAGCAATTTTTGCCTTTTTCTCAGAAAGGATGATTCCTTCTTTAAGACATTGTTCTAGTACTTGTATAACATGCTTATAATGTTCTTGTTCTGTTTTGCTGAAGACAATTATATCATCAACATATACCGTGCAAATTTTACTAAATTCTTTGCTCGGGTCTTTTAAACATAGAGCATTATCAATTCTCCGTTGGAATAATCCAGGGGCTTGTTTTAGTCCGAAAGGAACATCATTCCATTCAAATTGTCCATTTGGGCAACTGAATGCTGTTAACTTTCTGCTTTCTTCTTTTAGAGGGACTTGCCAAAATCCACTCTTACAATCGAACGTACTAAACCATTTCATATTTTTAATTAAATGAAATAGTTCTTCTTTCTTTGGTAAAAAATACCCATCCATTTCTGTATTATCATTTAATTTTTTATAATTAATAACCATACGTCTTTTTTGTCTTCGTTTTTCAGCTTCATTTTCTACTAGAAAAGCTGGATGACTATGTGGGGATTTACTAGGACGAATTAAATTCATTTTTAGTAATTCTTCAATCTGTATGTTAAACTCTTCTCTATCTCGAGGAGTATAACACATTGGTTTAACTCTTATAACCTTTAAAGGGTCGATTAATTTTATTTCAGCATGTAAGGTTGGGTTTTTTATACTTTTATTAAGCATTTTATCTAACGGATTTTCACTCGTTATTTTATTTAATGCTTGTTGACAATCTTCTAAAGATAACATATAAAGCGTTTGATGTTTGGATATTAAGGTGTCTATTATTTTCTTACATTGCATGGTTCGAATAAAAATTATTTCTGGATTTTTAGTTTCATTTGTTATTGCAATGTTTGTCTTTTTTATATCTGTAACCTCACCACGTTTTTGTAGTTTGGCGTTATTTGTCATAAATTCTTTAGATGCAAGGCTGTAAGCTTTCTTCACAATTGTTATATAAACTGGTACTTCATTCAAGTGTAACAGTATATAATTTAATTCCTGGACAAAGGGTCTGTATAATTTTAAGAAGTTATTACCTATTAAAAGGTCTACTCCCGTATCTTGTTGGTATATAGTAGGAACTGTAAATTTTTCTCCCGCTATTAAAAATGTGACATTATAAGCTACTTTTTCTAAGGTAATTACTTGTTTATTTGCAACTCGTGCAGTTATTTTTTGTTTAGCATTTTCCCATTTTTCGATGGGTAATACTAAAGGATGTGCAGCACAAATACTTGCGTCTGTATCTATATATCCATGAAGGTGATATAGTTTATATCCAGTGAATTTAAGACCCACTTTGATATAGGTACTATTAGGGTTAGTTATATTTAACAATCGTTCCATTCTTCAGAACTATCATCAGTGCAACTTTCCCATTCAGAGTTTGGTTTGGAATAGAACTGTTTATATTCTATTTCAAATTTTAGTTCATATTCTGAATTGTTAGACTCATTCTCAGATTCAATTGGTTCAAAGTTGAACTTTTGCATTGCATAAAGCATTTTAACTTTATCCTTACTTTCTTTTCTTTTAGGACATTCATTTGCATAATGACCTTCTTCTTGGCATAACCAACATTTACAGTTAGTTTTTCCTTTTGGGCAATATTTTTCTTTTCTTTCAATCCTCTTTCTATATATTGGTTTGTTCATTTTATAATTCTCTTTTTTGTATTTCCTATATTTAGGAATGTACCTTTTGTATTTTTTAAACTTCTGATATTTTGATTTTCGAGAATGCTTCTCTTTTCTAGTTCTACATCCCCATTTATTAGGTATCTCTAATAACTGAGGATCACAACATGGTTTGTTTTGATAGTATACAAGAGTTCCTCTTAATTGAGTATCTTTACATCTATCTTCTATGGTTTCTTTAAGAAGATTTACTCTTCCTGCAAATCCTTCTGTAATATGATCAGGTTTATTAGACCACTTTTTGTTCATTTCCAAAGCCCACAATGGTGGTAGCTTATTGAAGTATTTTTCAGCATATGCTGGTCTATCTTCTTGTTTTAACAAGTAATACCACTTTTCATATTCACATGTAAAATTTTTCCAATAACAAATATCACATATTTGAATATTGTCAAGTATGAACTTTGCTTTTTTCTGTCTTTCTTCTAACACTATATTTGTGTTATCTAATTCTCTGACTCCTACAAATTCATTAACTAGTAGTTTAGCCAAAGCATTTAGATATTCTATGTTATCTTCTGGTTTATTCCAAAGAGCATCAAGGCTTGGAACATATGGATTTGAATCCCACCAGTTTCTAACATTTCCCTTCATATGAAGTTCTATATATGTTTTTAATGTTCTCAGATCTTCAAATGCTTCTTTATTAGTTTGTATTACTACTAACATATAATTATACCAATCTTTTATTGGTTCAACTGGTTTTTTCAAACAATCTAGATTAAGTATGTTATCATTGTGATTATTAGAATTATCTTTAGGAATAAATTCCTTTGGAATAAAATTCTTTGATTTATTTTTCTTATAAGGTTTTGCCTTACTTCTATTCATATTCATCATTCCTGGAATATTTATTTCTGGGAATGTTTTCTCTTCATCGGATACTCCAAAGTACCTATCTGCATTTGGATTATAGAACTCATCATTTATATATTCTTCAGGAGTCATGAACTCATGAGTGTCTTGATAATTACTTGGTCCTGGAGGAATATCTTTAAGATCTTCTTCGATTTTAACATTTATTCGATCTTTTGGTTCAAGACTTTCGCTTTCTGAACTAGAGTCGCTGTAATTCCCAATGAATTCTTTTAAAGATAATATATTCTGATATTTGTCTAATAGAGACTGAATATCAGTTTCACTTTGAATAGAATCAGTGTCACTATTCATTTTTCTCCAGGTAGTCTTTTTCTTCCGTTTTTAAATAGATTACTAAGATCTCATTCATTTGGTGGTCTATATGTTGGTATAGACTTCTTTTCTTTTATATTTATTAAAACTTTTTCTATTTCTAATAATTTAGTGTCTGAGTTACTAGAATCAGACTGTTGTATATTTTGCTCTATTCTTAGAACAACTTCTTTTATTTCACTAACTATCGTTAGTATTTGTTGTACATTTTCTACTTCAGGATTTTTAGCCATTTAATCCCAATTCTTTTCCAATTTTATTTACAAGTAAAATTACTTTGCTTAAATTTTCCAATAATGGTTCAATTTGTGGAATTTTCTCGTCTAATTTTATTAAAGTTTCTTCTAACCTATTTACGTTAATTCTGTTAATATTTTCAATAATTTTGTCAGCTTTTGCTGCAATATTAAGAATTTCTTATAGTAAGGTATCTAGAAATTCGATATTTCTACTCGTTTTTTCAAGTCTTTCAAGAATTAATTCTTGATTATTTCGGATTTTTTCAATATTCTCCCAAAGAGGAGTATTATTTATTCTACTCATCTTTCAAATATTTGAATTTTAAGCATTTTAGCTTATTTTTTGATGATTTTTCAGGATTTTTTCTTTTAAAATAGGATTAAGGACATAAATATCTTTTTTCCCTATTTCTATAGATTTTGAATTAGTTTTTACAAAATTTGTGGTCAAGGGTTATTTACCCAATTTGTTACGTGCAGAGTCATTTGAACTAATTCCCACCCCAGCCACAGAGATGTCTTGTACGGAGGTGGAAGATGTGCAAAACCTTGCGACATCCTTTGAAAATCTCGGCCGCCCTCCCACCACCGGTATGGATATGAACTCTCGTTTAAATATCTCAGATTTCGAACGAGGTTCTCTCTCTCTCTCTAGGGTTTTATTTTTTCTCCCAAAGATCTGAATGTTATTGCTGTTAATCCGAGATTTTTTTTTTGTCAGGAATAACGAAATTGGGTAGATCTAAGTCTCTGAAAAACCTAGCAAGCTGCCGTGAGAGTGTCGGCACCTTTTCTATGGGTATGAAATCTCTTCCTTTCAGTTTCCTGTGGTCTGAAACGACTTGATTTATAATGTTGTTGCTAATTGAGAATATATCAGGTACGAGGAGGAAATCACGCAGTTCCATCTCCCTTAAAACTCTGTCATCAACCAAAGCCGCTTCTACCGGTATGGAATTTCCCTTCAAATTCTTCGTTGATATGAAATTTATTGTTTAGGATCCAGTTTGTTTCTCTTTCTCAGATGATGATTCAGTTTTAATTTGGTTCTTTGTGGTACATATGCCCCATAGGATCTCATTATTACGATTCCCTTCAGTTTCATGTCACGCCTAACCAACAAAGATCTGGAATTGATCTTGTTGATTTTGGTTGCTGACATTGGTAGTTGTTCCGGTTATTTAATAGTTCCAATATTGCTTTCTCTACTCTGTGCTGCTTATTTCGAATTTTTGCAATTAGGTTGTAATAATCAAGTCACTCTTCTGTCAGATTTGTGTCTAGAATTTTCCTAATACTATATGGCAATCTAAGTATCCAATGGTGATTGATATCCTACTGCCTAGAATTGATTATGAAGGTCATTATTGTTTGAGGATGTACTGTTTTATTATTCTAATTATTTAACTGAACAGGAAACAACAAGGTGGAGGGCAAACTAGTACCCTCATATATTCCACAGGTTCCAATGAAACCCTCATACGCTCCACAGAATCCGTTTTTTAGTTTCCATGACAGTGCCGAAGACAAAAGCCAACCTGAGTTTTGCAGCAAGTGTTCTTCAGAGCATCTTCCTCGGGACTCTTGCCCTTTTATCTTCTCTGATACTTATTTGAGCAAAGTAGTACGCTCATATATTCCACAGGTTCCAAGAGAAGTCGTACCCTCATTGATACCCTCATACGTTCCACACAAATCATTTTTTAGTTTCCATGACGGTGCCAAAGTCAAAAGCCAACATGAGTTTTGCAGCAAGTGTTCTTTAGAGCATTGTCCTCTGCAAGCTTGCCCGTATATCTCCTGTGCTATTTGTTTTAGGACTCACAACAGTTGGGGCTGCCCTTATGAAGACTTTTTACCGCAAGGGGCTGACTTTGACCGGGTTAACTGCATGGCAGTTTGCGCCTTTGACGGAGGTCTAATTGATGAGGAGAAGTGGGCTTGTACATGGTGTCATGGGAAAATAGCCAAACTTACGGCCAAGTACACAGCTGCCAGGTTTAAGGCCTTGCGAGACTATGATCTTAAATTTCCGGAGAAGTGGGTTCCCTGTGGAGATTACTTGGCCGAAAAGGCATAGTCAAAGAAGCTTTTGAGTTAGTTGGTATATATAATAGTGTTACACTGGAATCAGGGTACTCTGTCCTTCCTTTTTTTCAAGTTCGCCAGAGTTCAAAAGGCGATTCTCGTCTTGGCTTATTCTCTTCCGTAACAAAGTTTAATTTCTTGTAACTAGGCGTTGACACATTTCTTTGCACCAAAAAAAAAAATAAAAAAAAAATGATTCTTTTTCGATCGTGGCCTATATTGAAATATTTGCTTGTGAAGTTTTTGCATGCCAGGATCTTGCTTCGCTAAGCACCTGCTCAAGTTTTCCACTAAATCGTAATTGAAGCATGAAACATCTTGGGCTAATCAACATATTGTTGACTGATAGTGTATCTGTACAATTTTTGCTACTGTTGAAACTTAAAGTGTTTAACTAATGCTAATAACATTTGCAGCACTGGAAATTTATTTTGCAACATACAATTATTGCCCCAGTTATTTAACCAGTCTATGAATGCTAATAACATTTGCAGTTATTTGACAATATATAGAAAGTAGTACGATACTTGTGTACTGAGTATTTAAATATATTAATATTTATACACCAAAAGAAATTTAAATAATTTATCTCTTTTTATTGTGAAACTTTGTGTCACAAATATACAACAACAATAATAAATAACTAACAAAGTAATAATTAATTTAAAATAGCGTCCGTATTTTTAAACTAAATTTGTCAAACATGATATTTTTAAAATTATATATGTCTAAAACATATATTATTTACAACTCTATAGATTTTATTTCTTTTTTTCTAAAAGAAAATAAATTTTATTGTGTTGTGATTATATTTTATATTTGTAGAGTCGGTGTCTCCTGTTAACTATTTTTTCGTATTCTAAATGTAATTCAATATTTTAGAATATTAATATGTTGAGAGAGTGCACCAAGAACTTTAACGCATCTAGGACATCCTTGATCTTAGCTTTAACCGGATAGCCAATAAAGGTCAACCAGTAGCTCAGTTAGAATATTCACAAATAATAAGGAGTCTGATGTACTTGACGAATTGTACACGACCATGCTTAGCCTATTCGATGACTAAATTTAGTAGATTTACGAACAATCTCAGTCATAAGCAGGGACTCTTACCCCACGAGGGGATATATTTTCTGTAGTGGAGGAGGTGTTATTTCGTGGAAATCTGCCAAACAAACTTGTATAGCTCGGTCCACCATAGTATAAGAGTTCATCGTTTTAGACAAAGCTGGTGAACAAGCTGAGTGACTACGAAATTTTTTAAGTGAGATTCCATGTTGGAATAAGTCTTGTCGCCTGCGACGATTCACTGTGATAGCCAAGCTGCTATATGATTGCTACAAAGAAACATGTATACCGGTAAGTCTAGACATATTCGTCGTAGACATAATACCGTTCGTGAATTGATCATAAATGACATTATTTTCATTCACCATGTAAAGTTTAAGGAAAAATTGACTGATCTTTTTCCTAAAAAAATGAATAAGGATCAACCAAGAATATTGCTAGAAAGGATCAATCGTGAATATGTCCACTAAGCCGCCAGTACATCCCATGATGTTTACTAAGAAAGGTTCAAAGCCACAACCGAGCTTTTCTGATGCAATAGTCTTCTGAGGATTGAGCACCAAAATTTGCATATATGCACATTTGATTTCCACTCATGTGGTGGATTGTTAGAAACTCAGTTGCACAAAATTGGGTTTGACCAGGTTTTGACTTATTTTTTTATTGCTAAATATTTAATTCATGTTAAATTAAACTGTGTAGAAAAATTATACACTCTTAGATACGCGTGGTATATTTATTCTCGAAATCGATTTTTGGTGACTGAGAAATAAATAATTAAAGATATTCATTAATGGGTATGTAAAACGATGGTTGTGGGATTCGAATGGTTAAGAGTCCTTTTCCACATTGGACTCGTAAATGAAATTAACTCTCTTTATTATAATAAAGAGAGCTGGAAATATCACAACAACAAGAAATTTATGCACCAAGTGTTGGTGATGACTTCAGCCACATGCACGCGCACATGCGCGCACCCACTCACTAGCCGACAAGCTAGGCTCGACTTGACATGGGTTCAGGTTCGGTCATAGGCTCGGGCACGGGCACGATCCTTGAACTTGGGCGACCTTGGACAGTCTGGGTCGGTGTTGGGCTTGGGCCTTGGACCCAGCCCGTATATTTATTTTGTTGAAAATTTATTTGCAAAATTGTGTCCTTAATTGAAATCCAAAACCGAGTTGGGTTTGGATTTGAATTTTGACCCAACCCATATGAGACCCCTTTCGGATACATTGTATCTAGAAAATTGACTCCACCTGACCGTTTAAGGGGAGCAGTGATTTCTTAACACTTTACCCTTTTTTCCTACTTACAACAACCATCATTGGGTTGTTACCTGCATTAAGTGGCTAAGTTTAGAGCAATGTTTTAAATACCGTATCGGTGGTCATATCGGTCTAGCCACCGGTACGCGGTATTATCGGTCGTACCGGTAATATCGCTTGTATTACCGGACTAGCAAATATAATGTATCCATAAAAATGTATAATACTAAATGCAAAAAAGTAAAAAATAAATGACTATAATCATTAATTTCAACTTGTGAATGAGATAAAAATAAATATGCTAACTACCAATTTAAACTGTATGTTTTTAATTAATAAATTTTATTTTTTATTTGTTGACTAGTATTTTGGACGGGTATTTTCTGGTATTTATAGTATGATCTTGGTACAAATTGGTGCAACCGCAAAACCTGTATTTCGTGTGTAATTGTGCCGTACTAATGACCGGTATCCGATATTACCATTATTATCGACTGGTACAATACAAAATTTTAATCATTGGTCCAGAGGTCATCGCCTACTTGCTGGAAGTCCTGGAACATGGTAGAACTACATAAATACACACAATCTTATACGCATATTTGCATTATCTCATAGCCTCATGCATATGCATACTGCTCAATCTTAACTCCGTTCAAGTTTGCTGGAGCTCGAAAATCTATTGTGTTGCAGCCTTCAAAACCTCAGCCGTTGTATCTTTAGGGACGAGACGCCTGAACTCGTCAAATTATTACGGGACATATTCATCTTGCGGAAAGAGAAACATTCCTCTTGGCTATTGTTTTTCCGCTTTCAGTTTGTAATTTTTTATTTATATTTTTAGTTAATATTAGTGAACCTACACTTCAATCCGTAAAATTATCGTTTAATCCATACTCAATTTGTAACACTAGTATGTTTTTACTGTCGAGTCTTCAATTTCATATCGCATGAGGCGATTCATATCCGTACTCAACACAACTTTTTTTCTTTTAATCCCAAAATTAGAATTATATTTTTTTATTTGAAAAAAATTCGAACACTCTATTTTATGTCTTGATCGGAATGGTTCGATCTTTTGGTATCCTCACGGATCTATCGTTATTACCCATAGTAGGATTGTGGGCCTTAGATGGGTCATTATAAACGATAAACCCCAGTCCAAAGCCGATCAACTGTCTTTCCGATATAAATTTCTGTAACGAGGGAAACTGAAGAAAAAAAAAAACCCTCACAACTGTATACCGAGCCATAGAGATGCCTTGTACCGAAGCGGAAGATGTGAGAAAACTGGCCATCTCCTTTGAAAATCTCGGCCGCCCTCTCTCCGTCGGTATGAATAATATCCTCTCGTTTAAACTTCCTGTGATGGAACGAGGTTTTCTTTTAATTCTTTAGGGCTCATTTGTTTTTGTGAATTCGTTATTTTTTGTCAGGTATGAAGAAATCCAAATCTCTGAAAAACCTAGCAAGCTGCAATGAGAGTTCCGGCTCCTTTTCTCCGGGTATGTAATCTCTTCCTTTCAGTTTCGTGGGATCTGAAACGACTTGATTTTTAATAAACGTTGAAAAAAGGGTGAAAATGCTATATTTGCCCTTTATTGCGCTCGCACAAAACTTCCAATTACGGCCAATTACAGTCGCATATTATAAACTACACTGTGATCGATGCTATTATCTAAGTGAATAACATCGTTATACAAACTATGACTATGACCACATGATTGCATATTTAGGTTTTTAAAAATTTTATCCTGCACATGATATTTGTTTTTTTTTTTTTAAATATTTGGCATGCATTATTCTGCACATGATCATATATGTAAGTTTCTGAAATTTTATTTTGTATTTTGGTTCACTTTCACTATTTAATAAAGAATATTCCGAGAATATTGGATTTGAGATGGGCGTTTGGGTTCAAGAAGAATTTCTATTTGATGTGATTGTGATAGTTATTGCACTTTGGGTTTGGAAATATTAGGTACAAGGAGGAGATCACGCAGTTCCAGCTCCCTTAGAACTCTGCCATCAACCGGAGACAATACTATCGGTATGGAATTTCCGTTCAAGTTCTTCTGTGATATGAAATTTATTCTTTAGGATCCAGTTTGTTGCTCTTTCTCAGATGATGATTCATTGTTAATCTTGTAGTTCTTGTAACATCTGTTTCGTACTATCTCATTATCTCGTCTAGCTGACAGAGATTTGGAAATGAACTTGTTTATTTCGGTTGCTGATAGTGGTCGTTGTTCCGGTTAACTAATAGTTCCAACATTGCTTTCTCTACTCTGTGCTGCTTTTTTCTCTTTCACCACAACCCTTTCGAATTTGTGCAATTAGGTTGTAATAATCAAGTCACTCTTCTGTCAGATTTGTTCCTAGAATTTTCTTAACATACTTTATGGCAATCTAAGTGATCCAATGGTGATTGATATCCTACTGCCTAGAATTGATTATGAAGGTCATTATTGTTTGAGGATGTACTGTTTTATTATTCTAATTATTTAACTAAACAGGAAACAACAAGGTGGAGAGCAAACTAGTACCCTCATATATTCCACAGGTTCCAAGTGAAGTGGTACCCTCATTCAGACCCTCATACGCTCCACACAATCCATTTTTTAGTTTCCATGACAGTGCCGAAGACAAAAGCCAACTTGAGTTTTGCAGCAAGTGTTCTTTAGAGCATCTTCCTCGGGACTCTTGCCCTTGTATCTTCTCTGACATTTATTTGAGCAAAGTAGTACCCTCATATGTTCCAAGTGAAGTGGTACCCTCATTGAGACCCTCATACGTTCCAGACAAATCATTTTTTAACTTCCATGACGGTGCCAAAGACGAAAGCGAACCTGAGTTTTGCAGCAAGTGTTCTTTAGAGCATCTTCCTCGGCAAGCTTGCCCTTATATCTCCTGTGCTATTTGTTTTAGGACTCACAGAAATTGGGGCTGCCCTTATGAAAACTTTTTGCCGCAAGGGGCTGACTTTAACCGGGATAACTGCATGGTAGTTTGCGCCTTTGATGATGCAGGTGTATTTGATGAGGAGAAGTGGGCTTGTACATGGTGTCATGGGAAAATAGCCAAACTTACGGCCAAGAAATGTTGCATTTGCTTGAAATTTGCAGACCACTGCTCCTATGAATGCCCTAAGGACGTGGACCGAGCTGCCAGGTTTAAGGCCTTGCGAGACTATGATCTTACATTTCCAAAGAAGTGGGTTCCCTGTGGAGATTACTTGGTCGAAGAGGAATAGTCAAAGAAGCTTTTGATTTAGTTGGTATATATAATGGTGTTACACTGGAATCAGGGTACTCTGTTCTTCCTTTTGTTCAACTTAGCCAGAGTTCAAAAGCCTATAGCACTAGAACGGGGCCTATTCGTTTTGTAGAAAGAGCAATTCTCGTCTCGGCTTATTCTCTTCCGTAACAAACTTTAATTTCTTGTAATTAGGCGTTGACATCTTTCTTTGCACCCAAAAAAATAAAATAAAATAAAATAAAATGATTCTTTTTCGATGGGATAGTTGCCTTATTGAAATATTTGCTTGTGAAGTTTTTGCATGCCAGGATCTTGCTTCGCTAAGAACCTGCTCAAGTTTTCCACTCAATCGTAATTGAAGCTTGAAAGTTGAAACATCTTGGGCTAATCAACATATTGTTGACTGATAGTATATCTGTTAATTTTTGCTACAGTTCAAACTAAAAGTGTTTAACCGGTCTGAATGCTAATATCATTTGCAGCACTGGAAATCTATTTTGCAACATCCAATTATTGCTACAGTTCAAACTAGTAGTGTTTAGCCAGTCTATGAATGCTAATAACATTTGCAGCACTGGAAATTTATTTGGCAATATATAGAAAGTAGTACGATACCTGTGTACTACACGAGTATTTAAATATATTAATATTTATACACCAAAAGAAATTTAAATAATTTATCTCCTTTATTGTGAAACTTTGTGTAACAAATATACAACAACAATAATAAATAACTAACAAAGTGATAATTAATTTAAAATGGCGTCTGTATTTTTAAACTAAATTTGTCAAACATGATATTTTTTAATCATATTTTTAAAATTATATATGTCTAGAACATATATTATTTACAACTCTATAGATTTGATTTAATTTTTTCTAAAAGAAAATAAACTTTATTGTGTTGTGATTATATTTTATATTTGTAGAGTCGGGGTCTCCTGTTAACTATTTTTTCGTATTCTAAATGTAATTTAATAATTTAGAATATTAATAATGGAGAGAGAGTGCACAAGAACTTTAACGCATCTAGGACATCCTTGATCTTAGCTTAAACCGGATAGCCAATAAATGCCAATCAGTAGCTCAGTTATAATATTTACGGATAATAGGGAGCCTGATGTACTTGACGAATTATACACGACCAGGCTTAGCTTATTCGATGAATAAATTTAGTAGATTTACGAACAATCTTAGTCGCTCAGGGACTCTTACTCCACGAAGGGATATATTTTCTGTAGTGGAGGAGGTGTTGTTTCGTGAAAATCTACCAAACAAACTTGTGTAGCTCGGTCCACCATAGAATCAGAGTTCATCGTTTTAGACAAAGCTGGTGAACAAGCTGAATGACTACGAAATTTTTAAGTGAGACTCCATGTTGGAATAAGTCTTGTCGTTTGCGACGATTCACTGTGATAACCAAACTGTTATATAATAGGTACAAAGAAACATGTATAACGGTAAGTCTAGACATATTCGTCGTAGACATAATACCTTTCGTGAATTGATCATAAATGACATTATTTCCATTCACCATGTAAAGTTTAAGGAAAATTTGACTGATCTTTTTCCTAAAAGAATGAATATGGATCAATCAAGAATATTGCTAGAAGGGATGGGCTTAATAGTCCACAGCGAAAAGAATGATCATAGTGGTAGCCGTACTTTGTTGAATGAAAATCTCACGAACTTGGTTCAAGTGGAAAACTAAACTATAAAAATTCAGTTGAACACTTGAAACATAAGAATGTCCAAAATTGAGAATATTCGCCGTACCTTGCTGATTTCTTCACTTGCCGCCGGCGGAGTCGGAGGTTGATGTTGGTGACCCTCTCGACGAGCCACGACCTTCAGTATGATCAAAATCGTCTTCATACGGCTGGGTCTTGTCGTCGTCGTCATCCACATTTAGCGGTTGATGCTGCTCGGCCATGTAGGTATCTTCTATTTCATCAATAGAATGAAATATCAAATATTCGAATCTTCTGTGGATCAACATCTTCGGGTAGACCCGGGACATCCCGGTATACAATTTACCTCGGCACTAGAATTCTACTCGAAGTTGCGCCGCTTACATTTTTACATTTTTACAGTTATTTATAGATTTTTTTTGTAGTTCTTTTTTTTTGCATTTTTTTAGGATTACTATTATTATTATTATTTAATTCTAACCGTTGTTTGCAACGGTCAGAAAAATCCGTTGATCCGATATGTCAAACGTGGGCAGGGTCGACCTTGGAGTAGGATTTCCATTTAATAGATACTTAATTTGTAACAATAGTATGTCTTTAATTTGTAATTTTGTAATTTTGTTTTATGTTTTTGGGTAAAATTAGTGAACCTACGATTCAGTTCGTAGGATTCCCATTTAATCGATACTTAATTTTGTAACAATAGTATGTTTTCAATTTTGATTCTTCAATTTGATATCGTACGATACGATTCAAATCAGTACACGACACAACTTTTTTTTTATAATCTCAAAACTAAAACTATTCGTAAGATTTCCATTTAATCGATACTTAATTTATAACAATAGTATGTTTTTAATTTTGGTTCTTCAATTTGATATCGTACGAGACGATTCAAATCAGTACACGATACAACTTTTTTCTTTTAATCTCAAATTATTATTTTTTTATTTGAAAAAATTCGAACACACAATTTCCCTTATTTTATGTTTTGATTCGGAATGATTCGATGTTTCAGTATCCACATATCTCTCGTGATTACCCAATAGTAATAGGATTGTGGGCCTTATTTTATGTTTACCACAAGAATTTTAAATTATTGCGGATGTACGAAGGGAGTGATTATATTTGCAAGCCTACCTTTTCAAATATATTTATTTGAGCTGAAGATATAAATCCGTTACCATATTAAGTGAGAGAATAAGTTCCTACAATCACGTCTAAAAGATAAGTGTATATTACCTAATAAGTAGGACTTGTAAATACAATCCGTTACCATATTTATTTGTGTTCATATATATTCAGTTACCATATTATATTACCTAATAATATGTTCCTACAATCCGTTAACATATTAATTTGAAATTCAAACGTCTAATTTATTTTTTTCGGTATATATTGCGTTTATACACAATATATACCAAACATATACAGAAAGCATATAAGTCCGGAAAATATACAAAACAAATCTGGTAATTTTATCTTTTCGTAATCCTTTTTTGTTTACTTTTTGTGCATCTTGACAAAAAATTATATAATATAATTTTACTTTTACTAAGGGTTATAGCTCTGTTGGTAGAGCACCTAACAACATCTCATATTCTTTTGTATATTTATATTATATTGTCTAGTTAATACAAAATATACAATCAAACTTATATATATACAGAAGATATATTCATTATATACAAAGTACGTAAATAAAATACACAATAAATATATAGAAGATAAATCAATCTTGTCATTATATACGGAATATATACAGAAGAATACAGAAAACACACATTAAACTGTTGAAAGAGGCCGAATCGGATCGAACACCAGTGGATCGACTCGGTTCGAGGCTGAGCTGGTCAGAAACGGCTCGGGCTTGGACTAAGTTGACTCGGTCGGGACTGAGTCGGGATAGATCTAGAGCGGGGTTCAAGAATCTGCTCGTGGTGCTTGGTGCACGTTCCCGGACGGGAGCTGTACGGACCCGCTTGGTCACGGGGACGTGCAGGGACAGCTCAAACACGCCTGTATGGACGCGAAACGGGTCGTACGTGCTGGAACCGGGCGTGAACGGAACATGGGCGATGCTACACGGGTTTGTAGTCACGCGCTCGAGCTGGACGGGACGCGAGCAGGGCTAGCTGGTGCGTGGACTCGAGCTCGCGGACAGCGGCCAAGGGTGGTGCGACCGGAGGGAATGGATGGCTGGCCGACGACGGTTCGGTTCGCCGGCGACGGTGGCTTGCTGGAAACAGGTGGACCTTGCCGGTTTTAAGATGGAGGAAGGTGGATTTGTTCAGGAATGAGAATGGATCTTCAAAATGAATGAATGGGGCTAGAGTTTTTGAGGTGGAAATGGAACTAGTACGCCACCCGCGCGTTGCGCGGCTTAATATTAAAAATGATGTGAATGAATGACAATTTAATAGAAAAAATATTTATTAAAAAAATTATTGAGATAATGTAAAATAATTTTTTTATTAAACCATTTAAAAATACTTCCACAAATACAACATTAATATTATGAATTGTGTTCGTTATAACCATAGTAATAACAATAATTAGACAACATGAATCGTGACTCTAGAAACAATAACAATTAACAAAAAAAAAAAATATAAAATCCAATATAATTTTTTTTTCTAAATTTCTAAAATTAAATTTTTAAGCTGACAAAAATATTTGATATACCGTGAAAAAAATTATTGGTCACATTAATGACTCTATATGTGATAACATAATTTTCATAGTTGAAAAAAGAAAATAAAGTCATGATTACTATTGTACAAATAAACTAATATTGAATAATTAATGCTAACATGTACGAAGATGAGAAAAATAAAATTTATAAATATAAATTAAATATTTAATAAAAATAAAAATGACTTCTATCTGCATGTATTTAATTTTAAATTAAGTCTACATATTTTTTACTTTTTATTAACAAAATAAATCTCAACCTTTCGTTTTTTACAAAATAATTGCGATGATAATTAGAGAATGACATGAAAGATGATCGTTTTTTATAAAGTTATAAATAGAATCAGTAACTCAATATTAAAATATTTATTTTTTGCACGAAATTCATGAGAATTGTAACTCAATGTAATATTAAAATACTTATTTGTGCATGAAACCAATGAGAATTATAATTCAATATAATTATAATAAAACACTTTGAAAATTTTTTGTAATGTAATACAAAAAAAAAACATTTAAATTATATTATATAAAATCTAAAAGAAATAAAATAAAATTAACATTATGATACATGATAAAGAAAAAGTAGTTGATGCATTATAATAAGTTTGTGGTTAACTTTATATACTGCAACTGTTCATTGTGATAATATGATCTCATCATTCTCTTATGAAAAAAAAAAAATCATTTTTAATATCTCGTGTACAAAGACGATTCGGATCTGATCATAGAAAAGATTCTCTTCAAGCAAACCAGCCTATCTTCTGTCTTCTGTCTAGTGATTACGCAGTGGTTGACAAAAATTAAATGATAATTGCCCATTATGCTATTTTTATTTTTAAATTGTTTTGCTGCAGAATTGTGTATTTATTATTATTATTATTATTATTATTATTATTATTATTATTATTATTATTATTATTATTATTATTATTATTTTTGTAGGAAATCGATGAAAACTGTAATTCAATGTAATTTTTAGAAAAACACATTAAAGAAATTTTTGTAAAGTAATACGAAAAATAAATTTAAATTATATTATATAAAATACATAAAAAAATACATTATTGTGAAATTAACATTTTGATATATGATAAGGAAAAAGTAGTTGATACATTATAATAAGTTGTGTTTAAATTTATCTACTATAACATTTAGTGGCGATAATATACTCTCATTGTTCTCTTATAAAAGAAAAAGATTTGTTCATAAACAAAAGTTAAACAATAATTGACACATTATGCTACTTTTATTATAAAAGTTTTGGCTGTATAATTGAATATTTATTATAAAAATTAAGGGTTGTCACTTTACACCAACTTTTACATAACCTCAAATTTAAGCTCAAATTAAATAAATAAAACAAATAATTATCAGATCTATTCAATCAATATGATCATTTTGTCTTCTAAGTCAAAACTATATAAATACTTTTTTTTTAACTCTCTTATTGTTGTTGAGATCTCTCACTCTTTATGTTACCATTTTCTATTTTTTTTTTATCATTGCACACTATCATTTCGCAAAATTCTTATATTGTTTACCAATAAATGAGACTAAATTAGATGTTATGTTCGAACACTAAATCAATTATTTTTTATGTCGTATACAAACTATGAAAATAAATGTTCATCTCATTGTACAAAAAAAAAAGTATATGTCTATACATATCAAATTATTTTTTATTATATTCTTTAAAGTTGTATTTTTTATTTTTATAATATTATATTAAAAAAAATAGTCAAGATGATCACCGTCAATGTTAGGTCAATAGCTAAAACTTATTTTGCATGAAATTTAAGATGATTTTAATTAACTTATTATTTAGAAATACAAAATTATTTTCACATATCAATAATAAAATATTTAATAAAAATATATAAGTCTAAAAAAATAAAAAGGAAGACTAACAATTGGAATGTATGATGAAGCAAAAATAGTTGTTGCATTTATAGTAAGTTGTAGGAACTTTCTATGAAGCAATGTTTCGATAAAGATGATACATTATCATTATTCTTAAGAAAACAGCATACGATATAGAAATAAAACATTAACAATAAAATTAACCCATTATGCCTTCAGAAATTATAATTGTATAATTATGAACCAATTAAATAAACTAATGAAGGCAAAAACTTTATGCTCATGTGTTTAAGTGGACTCTTCAAGATTTTCAAAAAACAAAACAAACTATACTAACTAAAACTAAAAAAATACTAAAAACTAACGTGAAACGACCTAATGGCTAATATATGATCGAAAATTCATTGAAAACATAAACGATATATATGCATTTTTTTTTCAGTCTTCACAATGAAATCCATGTGTAGTCTATTTGAAATGATGTCATATCTCTTTGTTTGTACGTTATCATTTGTGGATTTTTTTTTTCTTTATACAATATCAGTTCTGAAATATTAATCTATTATTTATCTATAAAATACAGTCAAATTTCATATCATTTTCGAATTCTGTAATGTCTTTTTTTTTTCATAGCTTTCATATTCATGGTTTATTGGTGATATAAACTTAAATCCACATAGTGTTTTTTACTCAAGTAAAAGTTATTCAACATTTTCGAGATCTATTTCATATGGATATGAATGATCATCCCCAAATATTATAGATTATATTTTTTTCTTGAAAAATACATCTCTTTTAGTCGAATAAATTATGTTATTTATTATAAATATAACTTCATTATTTTTTATCTCACTCTATTTGTATTGTCTTTATTATTTAAAAAAAAATATATTATAAAATAAAATAAACAAAGTATAAAATTTGGAGGTCTAAATTCGCATTTTTGTTAAAAAAAGAATGACACGTTGACTTGACTAACACTTACTTCAGCTCACATCAGAGCTTGTGAATGATTAGATTTTTAACAATTTAAGTTAAAATATCTTGTTTTGGAATGAGGTACTCAATGCAAATAAATTAATGATCACTCGTAATTTCTTAGAATTACATAAAGATATAAAATAATATAATATTAGATTAATAAGAGATGGTTACATATTTTCTTAATGTGTATGTAAATTCCATCAATATAGAGTGTATGTTTCAAATGTGGTATGATGCTACTATTAAATATTTTTATGAAAACATATGAGCATGTATATGTTAAAAAAAACAATGACGAATTTAAATTGACATATCAAATCTAAAAATTTATCTATATATATGCGTATAGATGCAAAATTAAAAACTATAAAAATATTTATTTATTATGTTACATATAGATATCATATTAGTTATGTTTTTTTCTATTTTACCTTGAAATATACTCAATATAACCGAAAACATAATATTGTGTTTGATGTTTCAATAAAAATAATAAATGATTTTAAATAAAATATTTGACTTTAAATTTTATTTTAGTGATTAATTAAATAAGATTGATAATTTATTACTATAAAAAATAATATATAAGGAAAAGAACTCATACTCACAAACGGGGAGAGAGACAATTAATAAGTGAGATATTCGATTGAGAATTCATGATAAATAATTACGTATAATATTAAATATTAATTATTTGTAACAAATAATTGATTATGAAAAAAACATATATAATGGGAATTTGTATAATAATTGATTATTTCTAAAATAAGTATTTATTTGTAACAAATATTTATGATATTGTTTGAATGATAAATAATACATAGAAATTAACAAAATTCATTTCATGGTAATATATGTAGTTGAAGCATTTATTTAGTCAAAAAAAATTGGAGTGCAAATTTCAATACAATTATAATACAAATTAATGTTTATATGTAATAAATATTTTTTGTTGATAAATCATGCATAGAAGTTGGTAAAATTTATTACAATGTATTAAATGTAGTTTTGGAGGGAAATTTTCAGCTCCTTAGCTTTAATATATATATAGATGGAGTGGATGGTGATGAGCTATTTATAGTTGGAAGGGGTACTTAGGGTTTTTCTATTGTTGGGCCAAAAATCAGGCCTTTTAGTTCACTATATAATCGTGCCTTGTTAACCGAACATAGACTTAGGGATTTAAATGCTCGGGTATTAAAATTGCTCGGGACCAAGACTAATTAAATTAGTCGGTCGAATAATTGATATAAGGCTCGGATTAAAAAAATCGACATAGGCCTGATTTATCATTAAAATCGAACATGGACTCGATATACTAAAATGGGTCAGAATAAAATCGAACATGGGCTCGATTAGCTAAAATGGGCTGGAATAAAATCGACTCGCTCGATTATTAGGCCTCGGCCCAATTTAAGCAAATTTTTGATTATTTCAAGGCTCGATTTTACTTCTAAAAATAAAACCGATACTTGGCTAAATATATTCGATTTTAATAATTAAAAAATCGAATAAATCCTCCATGACTTAGATTTATTACTAATTACTCGATTTAATTCAAATTAAAATAAGTAAATGCATGAAATAAGAAACTGGCTATTTATGGAAATAAGGTCGAGCTCTATAAATAGTAAATAATATTCAGGACGTTACACTCTCTCTGTCTGGGCCATACTAATAGGATTGTGGGCCTTAGATGGATCATAATTGAAGTTTGATACGGGTATTCAAAGTACCCAGAGTTGCACAAATTTAATTAAACAGAAACTCAAGAAGATTCTTGTAATTTCGGAAGCAGTAATAATTAAAAATGAACCTTCAGGAGAGCATCCCACTCTCCCAGAGTTGTATTCAAGGGTTTACAATGCAGACTCCCTCTACACTCTACTTGAACAATGATCCACACAACTACTTATCCGACCACAAATCCCTTGTGGTTTTTCTCGTTTGAATCCCTCAAACTAAAACAGAATGAACGTCCGTTCACTCTGTGTTTATCCCTCACTATCAACTCCACACAATTGATCTCTCCACTCAATAAAAATACAATCGCTGTTCAAAACCTTACAACTTAGAATTTCAGGTCGCAAGAATAATAATATCAAAAGTCACTCTCTTCAAGAGTATCGCCATCCTTTTATATTGATCACCATATGGTAAGTTCTCTTCAAAACTTCGCTGCCAAATCACGTTCATATATGGTAAGTCCTTGTTTGATTTGATTCTTCTTTTGGAAGGTCCAAATTCGCTGCTGTAACACGCATTAGTCAACTTTATTTGGTCAATATGTAACTAATTAACCAAATGAGTTTATAGTAAACTCCCTTAATTTTTCAAAAGCTATATGATCCTAGTGACAGGTGAAAGTTCGTCGATTTACTGCCAATCTTCAGAACTTACAATAATTATTCTTTATGGCTCGTTTGTTTGTATGAATCCGTTATTTTTTGTCAGGTATGAAGAAATCCAAATCTCTGAAAAACCTAGTAAGTTACACTGAGAGTGTCAGCTCTTTTTCTCCGGGTAGGTAATATCTTCCTTACAGTTTCCCGAGATCTCAAACGACTTGATTTTTAACAAATATTAAAAAGATGGTGAAAATAATATTACAAATTTTGTTCGGTCCAATGATGCAGATTCTGACGAGCCGGCGGGCTAACTCGAAACCGGCGGTTCGTCGGGAATTAAAATAATATTATAATTTTTTCTCTATAAATACACCCGTTCACTTCTTAACACCAAACTATCATGAAGAATGTCAAATACTCTCTGTATCTTTAAAATTATACTCGTCCCTTCTATATATAATCCTAAATGCGTTGAACCTAAGTAGCAGACTCGTTCGCTTCGTAATCTTATGTGGCAATATTCATGCTTTGATATTTGGTTTGGATGAATTTTAATTTATTTACAATCCCAAAACAACATGGCTTGGAATATCCATATATATACTAGATATTTATGATTATTTTTAAGAACATTAATTATATTTTAATATTATTTTCTATTCTAGACGTAGTTTATAAGACATAACTTTTTTTATCCAATCTTTGTTTTTTCTTCACCTTTCTTTTATAATTATAAAAAAAAACATATATTTAAAAGCTACTAATTTTTTTATTTATTATCTATTTTTTATATATAATATATTAATATATCAAATTAATCATGTATTAATGAGATTCTATTTGATATTTGTATTGTATATAAAAATAAATAAATAATTATATTTATCTTTATAATAAAATTAAATTGTATATTATTATTAATTTGATGAAATTATTTAAATTAATTTAAATATAAATTAGTTATATGATATAAGTTAAAAAAATATTATAATATAAAATGTTAAGTCGTATAAGTGATGAGTGTTATTTTGAATATACATAAAAATAAAATTTTTAAAAATATTTGAAAAATAAAATAAAATTTTTTTAATATAAAATGTTAAGTCATATAAGTGACTAATGTTATTTTGAATATAAATAAAAATATAATGTTAAAAAAAATATTGAAAAAATAAAAGGATAATTATTTTATTTTTAAATATAATTTTCTTAACAAACACTCCTTTAAATATAGTACTAGTTTTTGTTATTATTTGAAGAAATTTTCGGTTTTTCCATAGAATAGGATTGTGGGCCTAGGATCATAGTTAAAACGATTAAACCCAGCCCAAGGCAGACTATATTATTTCTGATAAAAATTCTGTAGCGAGACAAAGAACCTCAATCGCTATTCACCGCCCCCCTATTACTACTCACCGCCCCTTCCTTGGACAATTTTGCCCCTTGCATTTTTTTCAAAAAGTAAAAAAAAAAAAAAAAA